TGCGAGAATGGAAATACATAGTCATCGTAGTCAAGCATTCAAGTTCCATAGTAAAAGTGTCTCAGGCAAACGGTATTTTGCGGTGAATTTTGAGCCGTGTGGAAATGCATCATGAAGCCAAAAATTCAACGAAAACATTATCACGCAACAATATCTTCACGTCTTTTTATCTTCACTATACGAAAGAATAAACATTTTTGAGTATGTATGGGGAATTTCTAGTTAATCCAATAATAAATATGGCAGTTAGAGACCTACTAAGAGTAACATGTCGCCGGCTGAGGCGGGATCGGCCGACGCGGGAAACGCAGCAATCACAATTTTGTGTTTACACGTTCATATTTCAATTGTTTACCAACCGATTTTCAAAATTCTTACACCATAAGATTTCCTGTACATTTCTTAGTCTTCTCACAAAATTTGACGCGAATCGAACGTAATCAGCGGTAAGGAGCGCGCTGTAAAGACGGAACCGTTCCGTTCCGTCCCGGCACAGTCTACAATTCAGGCGGCGGCTAGCGGTCGGCGCCGGCTGCCGAGTCGCCGCGGCGACAGGATGTTCACTTTACACCGCTATTACTAGACCAGTTGTGAACCGATTTTCTTCTTGCTTGCACGATGAGATGTGCAATTCAATTTTAGACAGGTAGCTATAATTAATTTCGCATTAATACTATGAGATATTGGCGAAAAACAGGAGGGGTGGGGCGAAATTCACTCTTCCCCCTCCACTGCGCGTGCTAACATACGTTTGCATATGTGTCATTTTCTTCAAAACTTATGAATGGCCCACTCTAATTTTTTCACAGGTTGTTAAGAATATGGTAGGCAATAAAATATATGAGAATTAGCCAAATCGAAGGTGACGTGTTTTTTGCTATTTCAATTTTTGTGCTTAAGAACAGAGTTAAGCAAATTTCAAGGTCATTTATTTAAGTAGGTACAATTCTAAACAAATGCTTAAGAAATTACCTAAACAGTAAGGTTTATTTCATTCAAATCAAACAAGTGCAACCAAAGTTATGGTCGTTCAAAAATATAAAGATGCAACATTTTGTAAAAATTCGATGCCCTATATTTAGAAGACCTGTGGTCAGAATGTGCAAAAAACATCAATGTAATGCCTGGGGCGACACAGGAACTCGCTCACAAATTTATGATTAAATCGCTGATGGTAAGGTGCAAAACAGCCGATTTTTGTTCGATTTGACGTGGAATGCCCCAGATGCGTTAGGCACGGACAACGATATCGAAATTGAATGTGCCGATATGTCAGACAACACGACTATGAAGATGGCGGCACAGATCCCGCCGTCAAAAATGTTTTAGCATGCTATGAAATGTGTTCGTTATATTCAAGGAGCGTTTCCTTTTCTAAATACCACAGCCCATCAGGGTGATTACAAGTGAAGCACAAAACGCTAATAACGCTATCAAGAGCACAGGCATGTCTTGAAATTAATCCTAGCGATAGACTCGTCTTTTTTACTGCCCAGGGAAAAGCCTTATACGCACGGTACCGACTCTGGCCTAGGCTGAAGCTAAACTCGTGAATCCTCGATGTTCGATGATGCTACATACTTGGCACATGTTTTTGAGACGCGAAAAGCCTTCAAAGTAAGCATATTTCCATAGCCATAACAGTCGGAGGTTCGGTGCGTTTTTTGAAACCCGAATCTGGAAACTCATCTTTCAGCATCATTTTAATTAAACTCATCGCAAGATAAATTAAATTATGCTGCAAATAATAAAAGTCGATAAATGACACATTTTCAATATCAATGGGATATTCAACGTAAGAATGTCGCTAAGCTGTGGGTCCAAAAAGAATGTAGTCATGTACTCTGGTCGGCCGCAACGGCGCATATACCGAGAATGGCAGCGTGAGCTTAGACTGAGCTAGGTAGGTATAACAAATGCTGCTAATGCAATGTAAAATACCAGCATGACGGCGAATTCATTTATACGCGTCTTGCGTCGCCGGTAGCGCAGAAAGCGTTCCCATGATCGTATTAGTCACAGTGGAGCACATTCTTTACTCAAGGCTAAATGACAATTTCATAGAAAACGCAATGCTACAGCGACGGACCTTCTGAATTGCAAGCAGCCTTTGGTAGCTGGTGTCGCAATAAAATGTCAGTTCTGGTAAATGACACAATCCACTCTCGTTTACAAACGTGCGTGACAGAATTAACCAATAAACGCACTGCTTTTCATTCTTTCTCAAATAGTCTCTAGGTTGTCACCAAACATTCTCCGGGCACTAACTGTAACTGATCGGCGGCGCCGCCTATCTCTACACCAAACCATTCACCTTACAACCACAACACCGCGGGTTGCGCCGCCACCGAACTCTCAACGTTGAGCACTGCCTGCCTCGTCTGCTCGTATACCGTCCCTATAACGCGGCCACTAGAGTGGCAGCCTCATCTCGCCGCGGCTTTGGGTGATGCACTCGCTGAGTTACGGCATATTGTGAGAGCTGGCCTTATCTACACATGGTAGATGTTTCCATTAAGCGGTCGTCCATCAGTACTCGGCGCGGTGGCGGGCGCCGTTTTAACCGTCATTAGAATACATCGGCCAGATTCGCCGAGCCCCATTGCGCAGTGAGTAGGTACTAACATGGAGAATGTGCGCAAAGTGCATGACTTGACCTTATTTTCTGATAACCATGTTGGCAGTTGCAGCTCTTACATGCCATTTACTCTGACGCAGCGTCGGATGGGGTTCAGATGCGTCGTTAACCAGCAAACATAAATAACGCGTTAGGCGTGACAAAAATTGTTTGCATGATCATGAATCATGAATATTTATGTTCACTAAAGCTGCAAAGCAAACAAGATTGAAATCACTCTCAAGGAGAAATCTCAATCCTACAATTACATATCTATTTTCAGTATGGTTGGTTTAATGAGTAATCTGCGAGACGGAAGGCATTATGGAAATTGCTGGCGTCTTAGACAATGCATATCTTTAATTACTTGCATCCCGGACCTAAGCCCACTGTCGGGCACCGGACAGACCATCGGCGTATCGCGCCGCATCTGCCCCGCGCGGCACATCCTGTGTGCGCGCATCTGGCCGGCACATCTATCCGCCATTCCGTGTGTCGAGATAATAACACCGCCGGCGCCGCGTGTACAATCATCGTGCCGCGGTAATTTGTCATCAGACGGCCGGGATTAGGTTGTGCCGGTTCGGCGCCGCGTTGGCCAGTCCTCCATTGCAGCGGCAGTGCCGGCTGCCCCAGCTAACGACCTGTCCATCCTGCCGATATAAATAGCTGGCTCCGGCAGCGATCCGGCGTAGTAAGTTCGGCGGAAAAAAGTCCGTCGATGGTGACATTGATTGGCAATTAAGGAAATTCAATGAAGAAGCGCGGAAGAGAAATGAACTTTCGGAAGACTTCGGAAGTCGAGACGTTCCGTTTATCAACAAGTGTCGTGATTAATGGCACAGCCTTAGATGCATAGCAAGAAGATGAGCCAGGCTTAACCACGGCCTTTAACTTCCATTCCGCCAAATAACCGTCGACAGCGTGGATCATCACCGCCACATTAATACATAACACTCGGCTGAAGAAAAATAACCCTCAATACCCGGATGACGCCGACCGTAGTCTGCAGATCAGCGACGTGTTATTTGGCACGGCCGGGCAGCCCGACAGAGCAAGCCCCGAGCCGCGACTCCTACATGGTCCCGCCACCGCGACCCTCTGAGGCTGACGTCACCTAGCCATAAAGGCTGATGGAAATGGCCCACACGCCGCCATGACACCGGCGAAAAAGGACCAGGGTCGGCGCGGTTAATGGACACAGGCACAGGACGGGGCCGCAGCAAAAACCGCTCCAGTTTTCTGGATACTACACTCGAAGCAAACTATCCCGATACCGAAAGAGCACCATCTAACACTACCAGGTTCTAATCGCGTCCAAAAGTCCCATAATACAGCCAGCAAATGAGCTGAACAAGTGGTTACCACACCAAATCAAACTATAGATCGGACTCAATACGGCCAATCCCACAGGATACATACCAGACTTCCTAAATCTGCTAAACCAAGCTTCCAATATGTTTACCACTATGTTTCAGTGGGTCGCCATCGACAAAGCACACACCGCTCATACCGGGGAGATTTGTGAAGTAACATCAATCTTCGTGCCAACACCAGACTGAATCGTGCTTGTTCATTCAAGCGTCCCGAGATCCATCGGCATGACACGTATTAGTCGGTGCGACGCTCGAAACGCCAATTACAGCCAAGTTTCGAGAAATCCCTCGCCATCGCCAATGGCATCCAATGAACTGCAAGGGCAAGATGGGGCCTACTAAAATACCTGAACGCCGAACGGTTATCAATGAAGTCATCTGCCCAACTCATCAGCAGCAAATGACAAATTCCGGAACACATAGAGGAAAGGATTGGTTCAACGGTTTTCTTGAAATGTGTCAGTGTTATATTTCTTTATTCTTTCAGCACTTTTTCATGCAAGAAAGATTAAACGAAGGAACGCGTTGACCGACCTCAAAAGGTTCATAAGGATGTCATTGAGGTTCGGCTCACCGGTTCAAAAGAACGTAAAATGTGACGCAATACTCCACATTATTCCGGCTAAATGATATCAAGACATTCCAGCTATCTAAAAATAGGTAAACATATCTTTGAAAACCGGAATGGAGCATGCAATGCACCTTCCTTGCACATCTCGCGCTATTTGCCTTTCGTGGAACAATCCCAGCTGCCTATTCAGTGTTCAATGACGACTTGGCAGCAATTGGGACATCGCCCAATGCGGCCTTAGGTCGACAAAGGCGGGTATCCGGGACATTATTACCGTAAGTCGTCTGCAGGATGATATTTAAACGTATGTATTTACCTTGGCGGCGGAGTACGGACTAAAAAGGGGCATCCTTGCCTCGATTAGCGGCGAAGGGCTGTGAGGGACAGACGTCATTAGCTTACCTTGATCAGCAGAGGTAGACAAACACGTCCTCACCTTGTTCGCCGCTGGCGTCGTCGGGCGTCCCCAGCAGCTGCTCGGCGCGCTCCAGGTCGCCGGCTCGCTCTGACGGCTCCAGAGCGTCCCGCATACCCTCGCCGTAGGTGGCCGACGAGCGCGCCGTGGTCGGCGTGGTGTCGGCCGTGGTATCAGCCGCAGTAGAGATGGTCTCCGTGTCTGCCGAGCCGCCGTCGGCCACGGGTCTCCGCCGCACCACCACCTCCCGCCGGCTGGAGCAGGGCTCGGGCGCGGCAGACTCCGGCCGCCGGGACGGTACCTTCCTCCGGCGAGTGACCGTCTGGACGGCGGCGCTCCGCGGACGCCGCTCCTGCTCCTGCTCCGGCGCCGCGCGCCGCCGTGTCACCGTCACCGTCCTCTCGGGCGAGCGGCTGGTCTGGACGGCACGGTGGGCTCGGCGCGGCGACCCGGGCACCTGTCGACGAGTGACCGTCACCGTGCGCCGCGGCGCCGTCGAGGTGGTCTGAGTGGCCGAGTCGGACGGAGCCGAGACCCGGGTGCGGCGGGTGAACACCTGAACGGCGTCAGTCGGCCCGCCGGAGGTCGTCTGCGTGCTGACGTCCGAGCCCAGCACGCGACTCCGCCGGGTGACCACCTGGACGCTGCCGCCGGTCGGGCTCAGCTCGCACTGACTGGCGCGATCGCTGCGCCGCCGGCTGCTGGTTCGACTGCTGGTCTGGGTGGTGGTCTGAGTGGTGGTTTCCTGGCTGCTGACGGCACGCCGCCGGCTCTCCGTCACTGTACTGGCCACTCGCCGCTGGCCGCTGGAGCGGGTGTCTGCGCGCCGGCTGACCGGGCCGCTCTCCGAGTCAGAGGCCGTCGCCGCGCCCGCCTCCTCGGGCAGGTCAGAGAACCGCTCCAGCCGGCGGCTGTACTGCTGGTGGCGGCGGTCCATGTCATTCAGCTGCGCCTCGATCTGGCGGCGGCGCCGCTGCAGAGTCTCCCGGATCCGGGCGTAGGCCGAGCTGGGCTCTGGCGGATCGTCCGAGTCGTCTGATGGGGAGCTGCGGCCCTCGACTCCGCGGCGCCGGCCGGCCCTCGCGCCCGCCGCGGAGCCGTCCTCGCTCCAGCTACAGTCGTCCAGCTCCACAGTGGTGCCCCCAAGCAGCATCCTGGGACGGAGAAACGAACCGTCACCGCCGCACAGTCCCCGGCGTCAACACTCACCCGCGCCGACCGCACCGGCACGCTAGGCAAATTCCCGGCTGTCCACAAATAGTATTACACATGGCGAGGTCCTTCCAAGAGAAACGCTAATCGATGGGCGTTCGTGGAAGGCCTACTATAGAAGCCTTACCATGATGCGACGCCACAGCTCTGGTAATGACGGCCGATTAACGACAACACATCAACAAACCAATGCAGCTAAAGTATGATGAGAATATTCTATAGGGTAGTGTGGGGTAATTTGAACATATTTTTACGTCTTCTCCGTTGTACCAAATTCCAGCTCAACCCTGGATGAAGAAAAACTGTTTCAGTAGCGCATGTGTCACTTGCTTTCACCATGCAAGCCTCATTTTTGGACGAGCCGAGCATACCTTGAATAGCATAACATCACTTCTCCACCAAGTCACGGTGTGTTCAAATTGCCCCACCGTGGGGTAATTTGAACATACTGCCTTTACCTGCCATAAAAACGATAGTCTCGCCAGCACCGATGTTGTTTGACCCATAAACGAATAGGCAGAGCAATTCTAAACATACCTTCACTTGAAAAATCAACACAACAACAAAAATAACAGTTGCAGAGTATCAATATCTGCACGCTGCACACCGGTCAGTTGACAGAATTCGCCTCTCTTCAATTAACAGAACGTCTATCATCTCCGTTCGATAAAAACTTTACCAAACCGCTTACTTCATCTGTTATAGTGGTGCCAATCGGAACCTGGACATTCGGAGTTCCGATTCTTTATAATGTCAAATTCGAAATTGATTGCACAAAGGTATAGTAGTCTGGACAACATTGGACGATGGCCTGCCACACTTAAGCATTTTTATCAAGTAATCGTGCGTAGCATTGATTGGCGAATGGAAAGCTGTTAAGCTCTCAATATCATGAACACTTTTCGGCTGGTAAAATTACATGATAAGCAATATAAATGACGGTTTTGAGTGTTGATAGCTGCATAATTTTCGGATATATTTGGACAAATAGTTGACTTTAACATTTTTGGACGGAAAATCAACGAAAATGCCGGACATTAGACGGATATTAGAAGTAAATTTTCTAAAACTGGCATCACTTATCTGCTACTGCTTTGGGTCAAAAATATTGGCAAAAAAAAAGCTGGGAGCGTTGTTTTTTTCGGAGCTATCCCTGTCTTCATTGAAATTCTCACACTATGTTCAAATTACCCCACGCTAAAAGTTATTTTGCCATTTTTAAAAACACGGTTCAAAAGCGAATTTCTTGGATTGAAGGCACTGATTAGGTCATTGTACAACAAAAGCCGTTGCGTATTAGGCGCTAGCAATGCAAGATTCTGCGCTGCAATGAAGTTGGAATGACGTGTTGTTAGGCGTTTATCCTTGCGAAATTGATTTTTTACACTGTGCGTCAACATCTTCATTCCCTGTCCCTGAAACTCTAAACCCCGTTCATATGATAGCCCTTTTAGTTACGATAATTTCTCTCATTGGTCTTATTTCATGCCACTTATGGATTTTCCGTAATTTTGTGTTATTCACACTATGTTCAAATTGCCCCACATGTTCAAATTACCCCACCCTACCCTACCAGCCACCCACGTAACCCACCAGCCCGCGCAGCCAGCGCAGCACTGACCTCTCGAGGCGGCCCAGCTTGGTGATCTCATGCTGCAGCTGTTGGACATGCTTCTGACGATGCTCTCCGACCAGGGACCCCAGACGGCGACTGGCCTCTCCGCTGGTCGACCGGCAGTGTCTCTGGCCTCCTGGGAAAGGACACGTTACAGAGGGTCAGACGGATCACAGCGAGACTCTGAGAGTCGGACAAGTCTCAAGTCTCAAGAGTCGCATAATTTTCGCCCACAGATCTAACAGAAAGTCATCATGGAGGTTGGATACGCCGCAGTAAAAATTTCGGGGAAGGGGGGCAGGCAGATTGCTATGGACCCGTCATAGTCACATGAAAGAAGGGATGATCGTCAGATGTTTAAAATCGTAATGGAAGGCGTTATTGAAGTAGTAATTGAATCGTTGAAAGGAATAAATGATCGTCAGATGTTTTAAATAGTACTGAAAAGCGCTATTGAAGTTGTAATTGAAGTACTAATTCAATCGCATTGCACTTTTAGTCGCATGGCCATACCTCAAGCTGATAACCACACCAAAGGACATCATATAACAGCGTTGCACACAGCGCTCGCAGACAGTCTCGCGGCAGACAGCATATGTACATATGTATAATGATCTACTTGTAAGATGTACAAAAACGTGATAAAAAGACCCGTCTACTACTTTGTAAATAACATAAGGTTCTGGTGTTTCAAAGCGCGCACCAAAGTGCGAACTGCAGAGTGACGCTAAAAGAAAACGAGGAGAGCGCCGTTCAAGAAAAAGACAAATCGTCGCCCAGACGGGTGTCTTTACGTCTTATTATCGTGAGTCGCTTCAGAAGTTCCAGGGTCACTGAACGGTTCGGCTCAGTGTCAGATGATCGGCAGCGGTAATAATAACACAGTGCAGCTTCGGTCTCTCTACTGGAGGCACAGATCAAAAACGAAATCAAAACGACCTGATCCAACTTAGACTAGGAAACGAACTGAAACGGAAAAGCGTCTACAGCTGAAATAACGCCCACATTGTGAAGCTTCACGAACTGAACCTAGTCGTTGCACTACTGCAGCTCCTATGCAGTAGTGACGACTCGGTAGGTATGTACTTCCTACTTTGACCAACTTCAGAACTGGTAACAAATTTCTGCTCGAGGTGTTTGCAGCTGCGGACGTCATCGGGGTTTTTGGGCGCCCGGACTACAGTGGTCATCGGCGTGTGGACGTCATCATATCTTTGAACGTACAAGTGGAGAACATCGAAACCGGAACTATTACAGGATAAATAAACCTGAGCGTCTCAGAGGTCAAGGGAATACTAGAGATTACTATTTAATCTTAGCACCGTACCATCTATCCTGTCCAGACCTGCAGCTACAAAGCCCGACAGCTGTCCGCCGGGGTAGCTGCCTAGTGTGACAGCTGTCCCAAAGAACAGCTATGTGATGTAATAACTGCCCCCTGACCAACTGCCTGATGTAGCAGTTATCCTCTGGGCAGCCCCTAGGTCCTACCGCTGTGTCGTTGAACAGCTGGACGTCTTCATCTGACTGAGTCTCAGTCCAATAGTCGGAGAGACGCGAAGATCGATCGACAGTCGACACTGATGACCGTCAGGCACGATACTCCGTTAAAATGCGAACCTCTGGTGAGGCCCAGCCAAAAGTTGCAAGTTTCTCACTAGTGGACGCATCACTGACTATCAACACTAGCACAGATTAGGACGTCATGTCATGTCAACACCTAACCATCGTTTGCGCTCTTATAAGGTAAAATCTGTCCCCCTTCGCATCGCATACGAAGGGCGTGCGGCAGAAAAAAGTCTGCTAGTAGAGTAGAGCACAAATCTCAGTTTCCGAACCTCTGGCTAAGCGCCAAACACTGCAGTCGATGGCCGCGAGTGAAGAACGACTCCCACGCGTCAGCGATTTTCGACGGAGGCCGGTGGCCAAAAACAGCACCCGACGCAGATAGACCGGCGCCCAGCTTAATGGACATGCAAAAACGTGATGCGATGTGGAATCCAATCGACTGAACTGAAGTGTCTGAAGATGGGTGTTTTGCGGCTGAGGCGGCCCCGACATGGTATATGACCTTGGGCTTATCCAAGGCCGGGCTCTGAATAACGATAAGCTGTGTCTGCCGTAAGAAAGACAGCGCACGCTGTACGTATAGTTGCATAAGCCACATACCGAGGTGGCATTAGAACTCGGCAAGGACCAAGCAAAAACCCAGACCTCAGAACAGAGTACGGCCACTGACAAGATGTTCCAGACCAAATGCTGGCAGGTACAGGACAAAGACATGTTGGTATATGACCGGCACTTTATCTAGTTCCTTGTAAAGCCGAACACGAGCCCGGAACATCACGGTACGACGAGCAACGGAGGATGAAATCTCGGCCATTTCGATGCCGTACCATTCCCCGGTGTCAAGAGTAACTGAAATATGACGACAGCGCATAAATAAGAAGGTACCGCTGCAGTGCCCAAACTTTCAACTAAGGCAGCAGCGCACTTACTGCGCTTCTGAAAAGTAGGCCACTTTTATTTACGTTGGCACTTCAGTTGCATGTGCTTGGTAGGCCAAATTAATCCGGAAGCCGACACGGAGCATTTCCTGAGAGGAAAGTCAGGTCAGATCTTGCTCAATGCAGGTAGTGTGTGTATGCATTCAATGCCCGACTAGCTGGTCGCCGCGACTATCCCGGCCGCTACTGAGGGCTACAATACATATAGCTATGTGAGAATCAAATAGCTGCGTGAAATGCGGCGCAGAATCACGGCACTAAGCAAAAAAGGAAAATCACGAACTTCGAAGAGTCAAACCTGCTGCTCCCATTGAACTTTGCATCGCATTTCGTGATCAAATCCTGCACGCGATCGAGGCGAACCACTCAATTCGAACGAGCCACACAATGTCAACAGTCGACGCCAGCTGTCCCAGGGTAAACTGTAGGGCGGTCCAAATTCGATACGAAATATGCAAATTATACAGACTTCAAGCGTTGCTGGAAATCAATAACTCCACTGACCATTTATGCGAAATCAAAGGTCTAGGTAAATAATCAGACTAACGTTATATGACGGATGAGAAACGAAGCCCAATGGGCGCAAAATGACCTCGTAGTCGGCGCGCCCCTAACTCCCAACAAACAAACAAAGAAACGAAGCCTCAATTGCTGGCGAAATCTGCTTGAAGCGGCGTCGTTCTAATAAACATCTTTTCCCGATCTTAGACAACTATTCAAGTGTTCTCCCGCACTGTAAACAGGAATCGTAATTCCTTAGCAGCAGACCAGTAAACCCGTTTACGGGAACTGACCCTCGCCAAGAGCACTAAAAAAGAAACCAAGCGGCGAAACCTGCACCGTAATATCCTAAAATACTCTCGCCTCTCTTCCATTCCCCGATGATGCACTTACGTGGTAACAATTGTCATTTCAGAGCTCCATAACTCCAATTTAGGAGGTAACAGCGAGCGTGTTTACTGGTTCAAAAAGAAAAGGCTTTGCAAGCTTTTAATCCCAGCGGTACTAGCCCTCTCTCCCTCCTCCCCTGTGACGTTAGCGCAGCTCGGGCTCTCAGTCCCGTCATAACTCAATACGCGCTTTATTACCAGACATAACACTGGTGGCATGAAGGGCCCTACCCGATATATGAAGGACGTGAGGAGAGGGGGCGGGGAGGTCTGTGAAGTGGGGAGGGGTGGGTCCACTGGGACAGAGCGGGAGGCTCGGCGTTCACTGAGACTGGAAAGAGCGGATGCGAGAGCGATACTGGAGAGCGTGGGAGTGGGCATAGGGAGAAGCAGGTTCAGGGGGAACCGGGGCCGATACATGGGTGGAGAAACGAGCAGAAGGATGGACGGACGGGTGGACGGGACAGACAGCGAGGGACAGGATAAAATTATATGAGAGAGCGGCGAGTGGCGAAAACTGGCCGGCTCTCAGACTAGAGCCCCGTGAAATGAGCTCGGCGACGGCCACAATTGTGGAGACCGCAGCCGACAGTCTTCAGCCCACAGTTAGCTCACAGCAGAAAGCCGCAGCACACCGCTGCAGCTCACACTGAACGGACAAAGCAGCGACGCATCGATGTCCGATGCTAGCCACTTAGCTCTATGTGACAGCTCCCCGAAGTCCGAGCTATGAGCTAGATCGACAACTTCCCCGAGCTACGAGCTAGAAAAACTCCGGTGAGCTCCGAGCTAAGCCCTTGAGCTACAAGCTAGTTAGAAAGCTACCTGAGCTACAAGCTGTCACTACCTGGCAGTCCCCTGAGCTACAAGCTGAAGCTACCTGACAGTCCCTTGAGCTACAAGCTGCAGCTGCCTGACAGTCCCCTAAGCTCCGAGCTGCAGTAGCTCTCTCCGCCGGTCGCCCGGGGACTCGGAGCTGCAGCAGCCCTCTCTGATACTTCCCCCGGACACGGAGCTGCAGCAGCCCCCTCTGACGGTCCCCTGAGTTCAGTACCACAGCAGCCCCCTCTGACAGTCCCCTGAGTTCAGTGCCGCGGCAGCCCTCTCTGACGGCCGCTCAGCCCGCCGGAAGCCCGGGGCGGCGCCGGCGGCCCCGGTGGCACCAGCCCGGAGAGGCCGGCCGCCTCTAATGTCCGGTATAATGCCCGGGACGGCGTCTAACGCACGCCAACGGCCGACACAACTTCTCCGGCGAGCCGCCCCCCGAGCCGACATCCGCCGTAACGACGCCCCGGTCACGAATAAATTCCACCCAAATGTTTGCACGACTGACCTCAGCCTCAAATTGCCAGCTTAGCAGAGCATATCTGCCCGGCGCGGGACGACCACAGTAAAACGGGATTTAATTTCAGAGGAATATTTTCCTTCTCGGACTCTGGTGAAGAAGATGACGCGGCGCGTATATTTGATACCAGCCCGGTCCAAGAGATAATTGGTGCCGCAACTCGTAGAAACGGGGCGCGAACTGCTCGTGCAGAGCGAAAATACAGTAACTAAGACATTGATCCAAAAACTATCAGTAAAAAGTGTTCACTTCTGAACGCAGAAATAATGAACCAGAAATGAACGTGGTTTTATAAGCACTGCAGTGTTATCTCAGCATGAATGCCGTTTCAGTCGAAAAAGCAAACACTGTAAGCTATCAGCTAAATGGGAAATGACAGCACGCCATTACCAGTGTAGTGCTCAGCAAAGCCAATTTCCGGATAACGAGCTAATCGGCGACCCTTCAAAGCGTCGACTACTTCACAATATCAGCTGAACGTTCCCAATCACACCCAACATTCACCATCCAATAATCACATTACTCCGTGTAATATCACGTCAGTCTGAGTGCCGCGGTGGACCGAGGGAGGCCAGGCCGGTCCGCGGTGGCCGCCGGGCCAGGGTCGGTCTGGGTATATGTCCAGGTCCACGGATTCCGGCGGCTCCGCGACACATGAGTGACACCTCTGGGGCGGTCCGAGCCCCGCCGCCACAGACCAGAGCGAGAGCCGCTGTCAGTGTGAGTGTGAGAGCCGGCGAGAGGGGACGGGAGAGTGGGGTGCTACTGTGGACAACGAGCATCAGCGTGCGCTGTCGATGTCATACACGAAGAAATGGACAGCTGGATGACGGAAGAGTACAAACGTGAAATACCATCGGCATGGCGTTACAGAAATACTGTAGGATCGCACTGTGACACCACGGAGAGAGAGAGAGAGAGAGAGAGAGAGAGAGAGAGAGAGAGAGAGAGAGAGAGAGAGAGAGAGAGAGAGAGAGAGAGAGAGAGAGAGAGAGAGAGAGAGAGAAAGAGAGCATGCGCATGGGCGTGCGTACGTGCGAAGTCAGAATATCTCAGGCTAACCCGGGATGCCCCGCAATAAGCTCATTAATTACTATGGCCACCCGGAGAGACAGCGGTAAGGTCTCCCAATGGCTTGAGCATAATTGCTCAGGGGACGCATTGCATAATTGCTTAGCTGCGCTGCTCCGACATAGCCAGGCGACGACACAACTGTTTGTACACCGGCTCACAGTGGAAACGTAACGAACTTCGCATCACTTCAGCTTCACAACATACCGCGCTGATTGAGAAGTGACCACTGATCAAAAAAATAACCAGGCAAGTTCCAACCATGAACTCACAAGCCAAACAGCATCCACGGCATGATCTCGTGCATCATCAGAACATGGACGGGCGATTGAAACGATTGACTAAAATAGTACAGTAAGCCATTACAGTGATCGTGTCGCACTATACAGGGAGCGATGCGCCTATTTTAATCTTGACACGCGTATTCTCTGAACTATTCGGCACTTGTCTAAGCGCCGAGGGATATCGCGGCAGCTGAGTGTCATTGAAGCTCCCTGTTTCCGGCAGCACAGATGTCCTGTAAAGTCTCAGGCGGTCTCTTCCGAGGGTGGTTGAGCTGGATCCCCGGCCGCTCAGACGCACAATTAACCAGACAACGCAGCAGGAAACGGTGGATGGGCCCAGCAGTTACTGCAGCCACTCCGGCAACTACAATCGCTACTGCCACTACAGCCACTATGCACACTACGAGTCTCCAGTCATTGAGGCCACCACGGCCACCCTCCAAGCCGAGCAGGATCACAAAGGTTCCGACGACCATAACCTGTGGGCACCGGAACCACCCTGGGAGCCTCTCCGTTCCTCTCTCTCTCTCCCGCCGGGGCGGGTCTGTCAGGCGTTCTCACCACAATCGGCCCTCGTCCGGCCGTAAGAAGAGGGTCAGCGACCAACAGGCTCGCCCGGCGGGAGTTTCCGCAGTGCTCCGACGATAAACCAGACTGGGCACAGACCATGGTGACAGCACCGCCCTCGCACGGTGTGAGGAGCCCCATCCATCGACAGCCGCGTCTCCAGGGGTTTTAGACACGCGCCGGCCACTGGCTCACAAATCAGCTGGCTCAGCTAAATAGTTAGGTCGTGGCCGAGAGCCCCTGATGGGAACGGGACGCTCAGATAGAAATGGAGCACCGTTAGAGCGGCTGCAATGGGCTATAAAGTCGCGATAGAACACCAATGGCCGGAGGTGATTGCACATTGTGAGAAACATGGCCGATTCGCCACTAGGCCGAGCTGATTCTATACCGTCCATGAATCGTCATAATGAACTAATGTGTAAACGTGACAAATGGTAAGTGGACCACAGCTGAGTTCACAGAACTGAAAGCACTACGGCAAATGGAGACCCGAATGAAGCGTCAATTACTACATCGAATAGGTGACACAGGATCCAAGTATGAAAGCCTCAGCTAACAACATCAACTGACTCGTGAGCAAGACTTCATCGCAGACGGAAAACTACCCAGCATTTAGTACTCGAACAACAAAAACCATTCAAACAAAACGGACGCGAGCTTAAAAACCACCACACATAATACACACGAGATACATTTAATTTGGGAAATTGTAAAAGAAATAAGAAAACAAGGGCACTATGATCAGCAAAAAAAAAAAAAATCTTTTTTTCAAAGCTAGTTGCCGTATGCTATCGGTCGTATTACCCAGTTACTGTCGCACAACTATATATTGCCAGCCTCTGAATGTAAACCAAGTCCCAACGGAGTAGCAATAACCGGGGAAATAAACCGGAGCCCGGGGGCTGTTCGGTTTCCAGTGAGTACCACAGGCGCCGGCTGATGCAACAGACTGACGGAGGCGCAACCACAGAGCACTGCGACTTGCGAAAAACAACAGCTTGCTGCGACCGCACGACCGCAGCGTGCTTGTGTTTTCGGCGCGTAAAGGCGCGCATATACCGGGGATTGTGATTCCGACATAAGCTACTCGCTAGTCTTTCTCTCTTCCAACTGTGGTCGGGGGTTCCTGTCTGCCCTCCCTCCGTCCCTCCCCAGTGTCAGGGGCAGACAGGCAGACACTGGGGAGACGCTCAGCATCCCCGGGGTGCGGCGCCCCACTCACCTCTGGTGGTTCGACTGCGGGGACGGTGCCGGGTCTCGGCCGCTGCCGCGTCACTGGAAACAGAAAACGCTGTCACAGCCACAGAATCAACGAATGGAGGGTGTGACAGGATGCTGTTACGGATTAGAGTGAGGCGAACACATATCACTGGCGAAGGGCGACAATGCCACTCCACGGCAGCCCCGTAGCTTCAGTCACGGAACACGACTCACGGCCAACAGTAGTCTCCGTCACAGCACACGCCCGCCCAAGCGCGGCGGTCCGAATTCTGCCAGCCGACACACAACGAACCTCAGCACATCATAAAAGTTACGTCAGTGACCCCACTTACATCCTACATAATTTAACTAGAGTTGAGTTAGCTCCAAAAGCTCCCCCCCCCCCGGCCCCCCGTACCGCGATGCACTACGTGCGTCGTAGAGCCAAGGCGGGCACAGAATCTATCGAATACAAATCGGCACTTCTTATTACTAATCTTAATATTTTTGCCACCGTTTCTATTAGAGAGACCATGATGGGGCACAATTTTCCACTGGTCTTATATTCGAACGAAAAAACGACGCCATTAACCCCAAGGCGGGTGAAATAGTTTTAAACTACGCAAAGAACAATAAAGAAAGGAAACTTGTAATGAGCGCATTAGAGCTGCCCAAGTAGCAGTCGAGTGCTGATAATTTGGACTGCTGATTAGTAGAGCATCCTAAAGTTGATGAGAAGCTGTCACCACGGACTCCGCGGCGGGCTGGTCTGATTCTCACACAATGTGCAGCGCCGTCCGCTGGGAACGCAGCCAAGGCGCACGGCATCGATGGGGGTCATCAATGGCAGAACGGCGCAATTCAACAGCGGCGCCACGGGAGCGAGCCACGCGCAATTCAACAACGCTGCCGCAAAAGAAAACCACACGAGGAACAAATGCGACGGCGCATTCGTTTGAAAATCGACAATCCTGCGCGCGCGAAGGCAATCGAGCGCCAAAACGGGACGGGGGAACATGGCGATCGCATTGTTGTAAATATTTCAAGCGGGCTATTGGGTCCAAACAGACGTCGGCGGAATTGAGACTTTTTCGCTCCTTTTCGATACTACGCACGGTATCCGGGCGCTCCAATCCGCGCCACGGAGAGCGCGTATGTCTATTGCGGGAGAACAGTCACTCAGTCGACTGCCAGCCACGCACGGATGAAAAAGCAAACACATTACAGTCGGATGGAGCTGTGGGCTCACTGGGGCGTAAAACCACTGTTATTCCAGCACTGCAGAATAAAGCCAGTTACACCGACTTTTCAATCTGTTGGGTTTTAACGTGACGCATGTTTCAACGAAGAGAGGATTCAGATAAAAATATTGGTATGAGTGCGCAGAATGGGTGATCGGCATATCTAAGAACCGTAGACCGTTGGACGTAGGGTACGGAATGTAATATAGGCATGCGATTATAAAGTAGCGAAAACAAATGGATGGAGCCGTAAAAATTAATTTCTTGAATTTAGAGAACAGGCAAATAAGTGACCACATGGAAGTGCTACTTCTGTGAAGCTAGAAAAAAATATTCAATGAACCTAGCAATCGAAACAAAATTTAGTTTGGTTGGAAGCGCAGCCCCGACGTGATCCCCGGCAACAGAATTATACGCCTTTTTAACATTGTTCGACATATTACCAAACCAGTGGCGGATGTCGCCCGACTGGTTAGGTTAGGTAAGGCTAAGCTAGGCTAGGTCAGGTCAGTGTGGCTCACCTGCTGGTGGAGGGCGGTACGGGCGTGCGCCGGGTGCGCGTCTCCCGCGAGCTCCTGATCACGTTGTCTGTGGTATGCCGCAGTAGGTGCAGCAGGTCAGAGTGGTCGGCCTCATCACAGTCCGGCCCCGGGACCGACCCCGGCGCCGGGGAGGGAGGGGTCACGGAGCGCGCCGTCAGCCGCGCCGCCGCCTCCGGGGCCGACGCACCCTCGTCCGGACTCGACCTGTCGCAGACACGCAGACACATCCGGTGGGGTCAGCTCACCCTAGTGATAACCGCCTGCGGCTTTAACACTGCTAAGAATAGAACACGATGGCTGTTCATTTCGGCACGCAATCACCATAGACCAAACGCGGCTTCCGAATGAAATTATATGTCAGCTAATCACAGGTAAGCTCTTACTTAAGACGGCGACAGATCTGTCAGCTTCGTCAATCAGGTGAATGTGTGATCAACGAGAGTTTGCCGGCGGGTCGGCGGTGACTGAGTCAGCCAGGGGCGATAACCTCGGTCAGAGACCACAGGTGACCTCAGTTAGAGCCGAGAGAGATAACCTCGGTTAGAAACAGCGCGAAGATTGGCCGGGTGACGACTGACGAGGTTCGCCATTCAGCGAGCCTCAGCTGTCTCCGTTTCCGAATGTCACTATGAACTTGGAGTACTATATGTGGTCCTTTGAATGCAACTAACCACTTTGGTGAAGCGTTAAGGTTCAGTATGTGCATTGCAAAAAAAAAAGCAGAAAGCCGCCTGTGCTTTGAATGACCCCGCGCACCTGTCAAAGAGGGAGCCCCCGGCCAGCCAGGTCTCCGACCCTGTTAGAGAGACCCGACGGCAGGTCGACCGTCATCCCTCACGCGGTTAGCGCCGATGGGTGAGGTAGTGTGGCGACTTCTCGGCTAAGAGCGCGTCCCCCAGCCGGTCACGTGGCAAAGGTTACGGCAGAGACTAATAGTCTCTGAGGGTTATGCGGGGCTCCGAGGGCTCCCAGGCTCCTTGAATACACTGAGAGGCTGCCAATGGCGCTCGGAGCCGCCCAGGTATCGGTTCGCGCCGGTGAGTGTTTGCACGCTCTCTGCAGCGAGGTCATTCGCTCGGTGGAGGCAATCATCTATTGGTGCGCGAGAGCCAAGGGGAGAGTAACACAAACATTCGAGAGACTGACCCCGAAAAGAGCCGCCGTCACCGGAGGAGCAGCCTTCCCGCGCGGCCGGCCCACCAAAAGGTCGTCCAATAGTCGCTGACAATGGTCAGAGGACACTATCGACTGATTGAAAAACTTCCGAGCTGTTCCTTTTCAGAAGGTTCATCGGCGAACTTCTGAACATTCAAAGAAACGTACACTTTCGAGCAAGCGCGAACCTACCGCCCGTCCACCGAGTGAAAAGCCTTTAGATGGCATCGCATCAAAAGGAAGTAGAGCAACAGACATGGGGATCGATCATATGATTGTACTCGCCGAGCTGATGGAGCATCAGTCGGCGGGCAGGCCGCTGAAATATCAGCTGCCTTGATGACAGGCTAGCACGCATGTTGCGTGAGGTGCTGTTCGAATTTCCAGTCGTGCATGACGTCCTATGGCACTGTTCTATCGAGCAATTTCTTCATTAATCTAATATTTGTAGCAGCGGAAAAAGCAGTGTAAAATTATTAATTTTACACTACTATTTGGAAATTACACATCCACAAAATGAAGCTCCGCCATATATAACGTAACACTTTTCAGCGTTTCATTAACGACTCGCTGGCGCCGCGAGTCCCATTTGAGTCCCATCGTAAGGCCATTGAGGGCAATGGCTTTATGGTGGTTGGTGAGTAACATCGCCATTTCAGGCCACTGAAGGAGATACTGTCAGCCCGGTGCACATCGCTCATCGCCGGCAGGCAGCTGCGTGTCAAAAACCTCCCATGAAGGAGTATCGCTTCACAAGATGGAGATCGTAAGTATATCGAGAGTGGGTTACAAAACGCAGGAAATTCACTTTCATTGGGGCGCACCGGTTGACAAGTGGCAACAAATATCCGACGAGCAGTCAACTCTATGGAGGACAGGTGACCAAAGGTGGGTGGGGTGGGCTCATGTTCCCGTAGCGCCAATGTCTAGAATCGGACATCTATTCCAACAGACAGCAGAGTACCACCCACAGATGGCTGACGGCTGTTCCCTGCCGAAAGGCGACCACGCACTATAAATGAAAGCGAAAAGAAGGCGAACCGCCCTTACTTATTTCTTGAGTTCGCTTCTGTACTACTAGTCCAATGTAAGGGTTCCAGTGGCCAGTAGTTCGGTGCGGTAAACAGTAAACAAAACACCCTAACCCTCGCCCCCATTCGAGTGGGACCTAAGCATATGCATTGCAAGTCGGCTGACCTTGACGACGTCATTGATTTCGGCACTGACTAACGGCGACACTGGCTGTTTACGACTAGGATAGTTTCGCTTTATGCCGAGTACATTCGTCTTTTTCACACAGCTAGGGCGACGGAAATTGATGCCCCTCGAATCGATATCAATCAACTGCGGCCGCCACGCCGTTCATTTTAAAACGGTTGAATGCCGAGACTGAACTCAGTTCGATTTGCATGACAGGCATTTATGGCCTGTATTTCATAAGAGTTAGCAATGTTATTGAATATATATGTAATGTTGGTACAGATTCTTTCAGTGAGTCAATTTCTTTGTTTACAACAATGGCAATGTCCGAGATTGTTAATGAAAACATGACCTCACCTTCCCGGAAAAATTCCAACCACAAAAAATAATAATATTGTATCTCACCATCCCCCGATCACTTTATCAGTCTCAGGCACTTGGGTGGGCGCGTCGGCGGCTTTGCCATGCGGCATGCATGCACCCCTTCTCCCAGCTCCCTTGTAAACAACGCTCCTAATTCGTCCATGAGCCATCCATGACCCTCCGTGCCCTGCCCACACCACACCGCTCCACCCACGTAGCTACGTACCGTCGCCGGCGCGGGCCCGGGTCATAATACTCAAACGACGAGGCCGTGGCGTCTTCGAGGCGCCTCTGCCGGGAGCGGATCGTGCTGAACTCGTAGTCGGAGCTGGTAGTGTCGGTCGGACGCTCCTGTAGGAGGTGAGGGAGGTCAGACAGCGAGAGTCAGGGCAGGCAAGACAGCGAGACAGGGCGACGGGACAGGGCAGACAGTGAGCCCAGATTAGAAGGAGAACGGCAGCCGGCTAGCTCTTGGTCACCGAAGCAGGCAGACAGGTTAAGAAAAACGGTCAGAACAGAAACAAATAGGAAGCGATCAGTTCCCATAACACGATCAGCTTAGATGAAAATCGAGGATCCTAAACGATAACATCACGTCCAAAACCAATCAGATCGATATAGACAGGACAATTCGTTTGTCAATATTTCTTGATTCGTACACATACTAGGCCAAGCGGACTGCAAGAATTGCGCGGAAATGTCAGTCCGTCAGACCTCAGTAACCTACGGGCAGTCGAGCGGGGTGGCAGGACAAAACAACGGCGAAAAAGCCAGCCACACCGGAGCTGCTCTCTGCGTTGGCGATAGTAGACAAGTTTTAGGCAG